TTAAATTCATTGATGTAAAAGAATTGAAATTGAATAATTTTATTGAAGAATATAACGAAAATGATATATTAATTAATTTTGTTAATGACTTTAGAAATAGTAAAATTGATTTTAACATGTTTTATAATTCTATTAATTATGCTGATTTATTTGAACAATCAGATTTAAAATTCTATTGTAAAAGAATATATTCATATACTTTAAGATTTATTGCTAATTATGATAATAAAAATGCTATTCAGTTTTATGAAATTACATTGAGAAAAATGAATAATATTTACAAAAATAGTAACATTAATGTTGTTAATGTGTTTGAATGTATTAAATGTTTAATAATTTATATTACAGATAATATTGAAAAGTTTCATAAATATTCAAAATTTAGAAAAACTATTATTTGTAATTTAATTGGTAAATTGAATAATAATTTAACGAGTTACACAATAACTAATTTTGAACTGACTTATAATGATATATGATTTTGTAAAATAAAAGTTTAGTTTTAAAAGTTTTATTTTATAATATAATATATATATTTACATGGATGAAGGATTAGAAAAGATTGTTAAAACACTGAACAGGATTTTAGACCAGAACAAGAATATTTTAGAAATCTTGCAAGAAATGGAAAAGAAGAAACCTTTAACAAACAGTTATCAAAGTAAAGAAGTAGATAGAACCAATGGTGAATATAAAAATAAAAGAAATATTTATTTAAACAAACTTAATAACAAAGAAATTAAAGAACCGAAGGCTTCAACTATGACATTTTATCAAATTGACTATGATGAAGATACGGGGGTTTATTCATAGAGAATATTATCTAAATATCTTTAATAATTGAGTTTGGGGTTTGCTCTTTTGTGTCATCACCCAGAAAACAAAGCAACTTACTGCTGATTTGCGTTTTCTTACCGCTGAGTTGCGTTTGCTTACCGCTGAGTTGCGTTTGCTTACCGCTGATTTGCGTTTGCTTACCGCTGATTTGCGTTTGCTTACCGCTGATTTGCGTTTGCTTACCGCTGATTTGCGTTTGCTTACCGCTGATTTACTTTACGTGAGGTGATTTAACGCATTGCCATAATGTTTATAATCATACTATAATAATAACATGTAAAATCTTATATGTTATAATTATACTGTACTTATGGTTTGTAAAGATTGAAATATTTTAATTTTCCTTAATTTGCTTGACTCTTTCAAAGTGCGTTGTTTGAACTTAAGTTATAAAATTCTATCTACCTAACCTTGCCCATAATATTTCTAAAAAAAATATGATAAAAATATTGTAAGATAATTTATCATAAATTTTGGAATAATATTTTTGAAAATTTATTTTTTGAAAATTTATTTTTTGAAAAATTATTTATTGAAAACTTATTTTGCTTTTTTTTAATGAATAAACTTAACCTTGCCCCTATATTTTTGAACATATTTTTATCATACATTTTGGAATAATATTTTTTAGGCATAAAAACTACCTAAAGGAATATGGGCATTAGAATATATGGAGGAAATTGTGAATAAAACATGTTCAAGATGTAATAAAAAGAAAACGGTTGATGAATTCACTGAACCCAGAAAATTATGTAATACTTGTATTGAAGACAAACGAGATTACAATAAATGTAAGAGAGAAGGAATTGAAAGAGAAAAGGAGGTGAAAGAACCTACCATACAATATAGATTAAGAAATTATCACTGTGAGATATGTAATTATGAACTAAGATTGTGTAAAAAAAATCAACACGTGCAGACAGAATATCATAAGGACAGATTAAGGAGAAAGGAGCACCCTGAAGAATTTGAAAATGAAGAAAAGCCACATCATAAAACAATGCTTGACGGTAAGGAGTTTTTTCATTGTAATAAATGCAAATTGTCAGTTATGTCTTCTCAATGGGGTAGGCATTGTTTATCGCTAGACCATTTAGGAAAGAAATTATATAAGGAGCGCCACGCCCAGTAAAACCTTATGATAAAATAGTTTATCATAAGGTTTTATCATAGGTGTTTTTTCATCATTTGGCGGGCGGGGCTCTCTCACGGGCACAAACTATAACCGAGCAAGCCCTACTCTAACTCTATCTGGGTAATTTCTAGTAATTTACCAAGCTGGTGTAAGACATGGGCCCAAAGGAGGAAATAAACAATCACCCGTTCCCCGGATCCCTCCCAAGCGGACCATAAACAAATCAGGAAGTTTTGACCAACTTCACATGGTTCTTCCACTTGCCAAGTCGGGTGAGCATGTCATACCATTTACAGTAGATGCTGCAAAATATGGACCGTTGCTCACATACGCTCTGAAACGCTTGACGCTTTCCCATTGAATGGGCAAATGTCGGAGATTGTAGGGGACGATGAAGGGACACTGTGTGCTGCGTGTATCATCGGAAAGGAACCAATGTGTTGCATTCCTTTTGGGGACACTGGGTCACCCCAGGGTTTCCCTGCTTCTCTGCATTTAACTTCCCATTCTCCGATAATTAATCCGAGAAAAGAGAAGAAAAACAACTTTTCCCTTGTATAAGCTCCAAACCAGTTGACCATGCCCAGGTCGGCATTGCTGCTAGTTGCCCATTGGAATCAGGGGGTGATGAATAACAGAATCATCCTCACGCGAACCCGAACATTTCGTAGCAAATTTCAAGGAATGCCCCTTCTTGCAATACGCTCTTGCTACAGGGTTGGTGGCATGTCCTTTTGCAACATCCCGCCTACAATTGGGCTTTCAGAAAGGGAAGTCGGAATGAGTTTCAAGCAGCTGGACAATGCGAGTCCGTTTAACCTGGGGATGGTTTCAGGGCGCCCAGTTGCTAAGATAGGAGCCAGGTCTCTGTTGCCTTTGAATGCTTGGCCAAGCTGATCCAAGCCCCGGCAAAAAGATTCAACTTGTTCCTGAAAACATGGACATTGCGGAATCCAAAAGGGGCCAAAGGCCAAATACTGGCTAAGTCTGAATGGTGGTTTCGTGATTTCCCCTGATTCCCAACGAAATTGGGAACTGGAAGCACTAGGTTAAAAAACAAGCAAAACAGTCTATTCCCAGCCCTACCACCTTTCGGGCAGGTACTCAGCTGCGCCCTGTATGAGCAACTCATGCGCGCCCTGCGTGTCAACAATCGTGCAAACTCAACCGCGCCCCGGAAAGTACTCAACCGCGCCCCTACCGCTCAAAGTGCTGCGCCACACAAATCCAGCTCTAAAAGCGAGCTCTTGCTTGGGGGGGGGGGGCTGGGGCGGGGTGGGTGGGTATGGTAAGCACACCCGCCCAAGTGCACCCGCTCAGCTCTGTGTCCACGCATGCGACATAGTTCTAGGGGGGGGGGGGCATGATAAGCACACCCGCTCAACTGTTTCAGCCCAGCCTGCTCTTTACCCGGATTACAAGATAACTTGTTTCTAGGGGGAGAGGGAAGCTGGGTGGGGGGGGGAGGGAATGGTAAGCACACCCGCCCAAGTGCACCCGCTCAGCTCTGTGTCTACGCATGCGACATAGTTCTAGGGGGGGGGTGGGGGGGGGAGGGAATGGTAAGCACACCCGCCCAAGTGCACCCGCTCAGCTCTGTGTCCACGCATGCGACATAGTTCTAGGGGGGGGGCATGATAAGCACACCCGCTCAACTGTTTCAGCCCAGCCTGCTCTTTACCCGGATTACAAGATAACATGGTTCTAGGGGGAGAGGGAAGCTGGGTGGGGGGGGGAGGGAATGGTAAGCACACCCGCCCAAGTGCAACCGCTCAGCTCTGTGTCTACGCATGCGACATAGTTCTAGGGGGGGGGCATGATAAGCACACCCGCTCAACTGTTTCAGTTCAGCCTGCTCTTTACCCGGATTACAAGATAACATGGTTCTAGGGGGAGAGGGGGGCTGGGTGGGGGGGGGGGAATGGTAAGCCCACCCGCTCAAGTGCACCCGCTCAGCTCTGTGTACACGCATGCGACATAGTTCTAGGGGGGGGGGGGAGGGCATGATAAGCTGCTTCACCCAGCCTGCTCTTTACCCGCATTACAAGATTACATGGTTCTAGGGGGAGAGGGGGGGTGGGTGGGGGGGCGGAGGGAATGGTAAGCACACCCGCTCAAGCGCACCCGCTCAGGGAATGGTAAGCACACCCGCTCAAGTGCACTCGCTCAGCTCTGTACATAGTTACAGGGGGGGGAGGGCATGATAAGCTGCTTCAGCCCAGCCTGCTCTTTACCCGGATTACAAGATAGCATGGTCCTAGGGGGAGAGGGGGGATGGGTGGGGGGCGGAGGGAATGGTAAGCACACCCGCTCAAGTGCACCCGCTCAGCTCTGTGTACACGCATGCGACATAGTTCTAGGGGGGGGGGAGGGCATGATGAGCTGCTTCAGCCCAGCCTGGGGAGGGAATCGAAAGCACACCCGCTCAAGTGCACCCGCTCAGCTCTGTGTCCACGCGTGCGACATAGTTCTAGGGTGGGGGGTGGGGGGGGGAGGGCATGATAAGCACACCCGCTCAACTGCTTCAGCCCAGCCTGCTCTTTACTCGGATTACAAGATAACATGGTTCTAGGGGGAGAGGGGGGCTTGTTCTTGTTCTTGTTCTTGTTCTTGTTGTCGTTGTTGGTGGTGGTGGTGGTGGCGGCCGGGTGGCTTGGAAATAGTGGCCAAGGGCACAAACGAGTTAGCTGGGGTGGCCGGAAATGGTGGCCCTGCGCAGTAGAACATCAAAAGGGGGCACACACGAGTTAGCGCATGCAGGGTACAGACGAGTTAGCCATGCAGGGCACAGCCGAAGGCGCACCCCCACCTTTCTCCTCTTTCTGCCCAACCTTCGCAGGGTCGCTCACAAGGGAGAGCAAAACATATAGCTCTTCACCCTGACATACATAAAACTCGGTCCGCTTCTTCCAGCTTCTTCCAGCATCTTCCAGCATCATCCTTCCAGCATCTTCCAGCATATTCCCTGCCCTTGAAACACACCCCCTGCTCATATTTGCCGCCCAAAAATTGTCCTCAGTCGAGGGGC